AAAATAATGATATTTTTTCTTATAAAATGATATATGTTGGTTGGAAAGATTTCAAACAATCTAAAAGACCACACAAAAGAGTCTAGAGTTCATTCTGACCCCTACCTTCAGAGATAACCACTGCGAAGATTTCATCCGTCTGTGAGCATTTATCAAATCAAATCTTTCTTTGAATCCATCCAAATACATAGTTACCTTTTTTCCTACTGGTCTTTTGTTTGTTTGTTTTGTTCTATTTTGTTTATTTCTGCTCTAATCTTTATTATTTCCGTCTTTCTACTGGTTTGGGGTTTTTGTTTGTTCTTTTCCTAGCTCCTTTAGGTGTAAGGTTAGGAATATGCAGTTATTTTTATAAATGTTTCAACACTTTGAAAAGGACATGTATTCTCTACTCACGGGGTAAATTGTTGGTGTTTATATATGTTATTTAAACAATATTATCTGTTACATCTTTCTGTTATGTTATTTGGTGCAAAAAGATGTATGATAGTTATACTTCATGGCGGTTATACTTCTCCTTGATTTTGAATCCCTGATATTAACATCACAACTCTTCCTTCCTTTTTGCTTCCACTTTCCTAGATATTCAGGTTGATGCCAGAATTTGCCCCAAGCAAGTTCAGGACTTTAAGAGGTCAATTTATTTTAAAGGCTCAGTTTTCTTTTTTTTTTTTTTTTTTTAATTTTTTTTTTCAACGTTTATTTATTTTTGGGACAGAGAGAGACAGAGCATGAACAGGGGAGGGGCAGAGAGAGAGGAAGACACAGAATCGGAAACAGGCTCCAGGCTCTGAGCCATCAGCCCAGAGCCTGACGCGGGGCTCGAACTCACGGACCGCGAGATCGTGACCTGGCTGAAGTCGGACGCTTAACCGACTGCGCCACCCAGGCGCCCCTAAAGGCTCAGTTTTCTTCTCCCCTTCCCTCACAACAACCAAGGGACAGTTTACAGCCACCTGCTTTTGTACTTTACTAATCTTAGGTTCTGTAAGAATTGAGATCTTGTAAATAGCACTATCTATTTGAATCCAGTTTCACCAGATTGAAAAAAAATGGTGCCAAATTGTAGCAGCAGCTCAACTCCAGGGAGTTTGAGTTTCATGAGAGTTCAAGTAAAGTTTTTCATTCACACCTAAAGTGCAGTTCAGAGGAGGTTTAAGGGTTTCTTTGTATTCCCTGGAGAAGATCACACATACCTTAGTATTTGTACATACTGTGTTTCATCTACAGACAAGCGGCTACTTCTGAGTGGGCATATTCTTATTTACCAGCAGACAAATTAGAGCTCTAAATTGAGTCTAATTCCTTTTGAATTCTCTCATTAAGAGAAAACTATGAACAAAAACCAAATCCTCGCTTATCGCACCTATTTTTTTTCCCCTAAGAAGATAATAATGATGATGCCAAGAACCACTTGAGGGTGTCTGTTACATGCCAAACACTTCATATACACTATCATTACTCTGATCCTCTCAGGGCAACCCTACCCCATGAGTGTCAGTTCCACGCTGTGCAGGTAAGAGTATTAAAGTTCAGAAGGGGATACAACAAGTTGAGTCACACATGGAGACTAGGTAAGGGTATTAAAGCTCAGAATGGGGGATGTAACAAGTCGAGTTACACATGGAGACTAGGTATGAATACTAAAGCTCAGAAGGGGATACAACAAGTCAAGCTATACAAGTGGACTAGGTACAAGTACTAAAGCTCAGAAGGGAGTGTAAGAAGTCGAGTTACACATGGAGACTAGGTAAGAGTATTAAAGCTCAGAAGGGGATACAACAAGCCCAGTTACACATGGAGACTAGCCATGGCATGAGTTGCTAGGGGTTGAACTAGTGCTGTTTGCCCCATGATACCTGCTTATCCCATTGCTCCAAGAGCTGGACTTCTGGAGGAAGCAGGAAGTTGTTTTTCTGTTTGAGAAACTCTGTTTGAGTTCTCCTTGGATGTTCTTTACTGGCATCCAGTGAGAACAAATTCCATACGCAGCTACAGAGATGCAGATGTGAAGGAGTGGAAGCCTGGAACCTGTTTAATTTACAGTTCAGCAAACAAATACAATTTCCCTGAATCAACCCTCCAGGAGTGTTAATGGAATCTAACCTCTTATTTGAGCGCTGTAATTCCAGAATGTACCTCGGTGATATAACAAAGGACATGGATACCAAATATTGTTCTCAATGTATTGCAAGTGCCATACGAAGTTCTGTTGTTGCTTTGAGGACATTCGCTCTGCGGCAAAACATTGTATGTAGCTTCAGAAATGATAACTGCATTCAGAATGGCAACAGAGGTAAAATTTTATGAATTACTTAGATTTTTTTTTCTTATAACCAACTAAAAGTCTATGTAAATTTGGAAAAAAGAGTTGTCCCTCTTGATTGCAGATGCATTTCCATTAACGTGAGCTGTACTTTTAATACAAGGTGTTTTAGTATCATGACTAAAAGGACCTGGGATGACTTATGGGAAGGAGGTAAAGGTTTTGGACCAAACCCACAGTTCAGAGTTGGTGTTGCACGACATTATACCTGCAGAACTTTTCACACGTTCAGGCCCTTCTCCAGACTCACTGACTGAAAATTTTGAGTAGAGTCTTAGGCATGTGTATTTTTAAAAAGGTGATTAAGCTGTGCAACCCTGGTTAAGAACCTCTGGGCTGGAGCATGACTTCCCTGGGATGGTACACTGAGTAGCAATGATGCAATATTTCCCTTCAAATGGTGGTTTCCACTACAAAAAAATTCTTCCCCTCCCCTTTCCTCACTGTTAAGAATAAATAATTAGAAGAACTGTGCAATGAAATAAACACGGGCATATACGTTCAAAGATGGGAAATATGAATTTCATTTTCAGAGATGTGCACCTTCATGGTCTTCCATGATACCTGATGCAGGTAGGGTTTCCTAGCCACCTGTATGCTGGGAAAGAGTTTTTGAGGACAATACACTTTTTACTAACAAAGCCCAACGAAGAAGCCAAAATACTTTCTTTTCATCCAATCACATGATTAGATGGAAATGACATTAGAAATCATGGAATTCAACTGCTTCATTTTACATTTAAGAAACTGAGCCCAAAGTGGGGAAGGGACTCCTTTCATGTCACACAGCTTTTCCCTACAGCATAAACTATGTGCTTCAGTGACCAACCTAGGAATGCAAACCAAGCTCTCCATTCTTTTTCAGAAACTGGCCTTACTGACATTAGAAGGAACACAAACAGTGGCTCAGCCATGTCTAGAAATGAGATTCTAGTCTTCAATAATAAAGTGCCAACAGTTTAACCAAGTGTTAAGGGAGAAAAAAACAAAAAAGAAAACACCTAGGCCTGAAACATTTTCCTTAGAAAAGTTACCCATCTCCCCAAAGAGTAACATTGCCAGGGGCTCCTGTGTGGCTCAGTCTGTTAAGCATCCGACTTCAGGTCAGGCCATGATCTCAAGGTTTGTGGGTTCAGGCCCTGTGTCAGCTGTGCTGACAGCTCAGAGCCGGGAGCCTACTTCTGATTCTATGTCTCCCTCTCTCTTTCTGCTCCTCCCTGGCTCACACTCCGTCTCTTTCTCTCTTAAAAAAAAAAAATAAACATTTAAAAAAATTTTTAAAAATAAACCTAATAGTAAAATATCCAAAGCTACCTGTACATTTGCTTTCCTGTCATCAATGTGAACTGTCCTTTGAGGACATATTTAAGGGTAGACTTAGCCAGAACTTCATTGTGTGCTGTTTTTCTGGATCTATACTTGTTCTTCCAAATTTAGTCTCTTTCCTTTCCCTAGCCCCTACACACAAACACACACACATACACACACACACACCTAAAGAAATCCCTTGGAGAAGGAAACTTAAGGAAGGAGATCTGATTTTAAATAATCCATGTAATATCAGTAATGTCTATGGGCTAATTGTGTCCCTCACCCCATTCATATCACGAAGTCCCAGCCCTAGAATCTCAGAATGTGACTGTATTTGAAAATAGGGTCTTTAAAAAAAAATTCTTTTTTTTATTTTTGAGAGAGAGTATGTGTGTGTGAGGGTGGGAGGGGCAGAGAGAAAGAGAGAGAGGGCGACACAGAATCTGAAGCAGGCTCCAGGCTCTGAGCAGTCAGCACAGAGCCTGACTTGGGTCTCAAACCCACAAACCGAGAGGTCATGACCTGAGCTGAAGTCGGATGCTTAACTAAGTCGCCTGGGTGCCCCAAAAATAGGGTCTTTAAAGAGGTAACTTAGTTAAAACAAGGTTTTAGGATGTGTCCTAACCCCATATGAATGGTGTCCTTATAAGAAGAGGAAATCAGGACACAGATACACACAAAGGGAAGCCCATATGAACACAGCAGGAGAAGATGGCCATCTACAAGTCAAGGAGAAAGGTCTCAGAGGAAACCAACCTCGCCAACACCGCGATCTCAGACTTCTAGCCTCCAGAACGGTGAACAAACAAATTTCTTTTAAGACACCTTGTCTTACCATCCAGTGGTATTTTGTTATGGCAGCCCTAGAAAATGAGTACGCTGAGTCACTGTATTCATCCACCATGATAAGCTTTACTCCTTATCTTTAACAAGTTCATGATGCTCAGAATGGAATGCCAGTGTCATCACTTTACCGTGTGGTTAAAATGACAGAAAACCCAACTCCAGTAACCGAAGTCACAAATGGGATGTATTTATCTCCAACAACTAGAATGTCAAGAGGTAGCACAGACTGCAAGAACAGTTTGATCAGGGTGTGGCCTCCTCTGCCCCTCCTTGTTTATTAGGCACGTGGTTGGGTTGGCTCCTCTCAAGGTGGAAAGATGGCATCAGGTACACATGCTTCTTCACCCCCATCCAAGAAGAAAGAATGTCAGCACATAACCACTGAAACAAGTCCAGGCTTCCTCTGATGGAACCAGTCATTATTACACTAGTATCAACAACAAATGTTCATTGAGCACTAAGCATGTGCCAGACCCTCTTCAAACTCAGTTTGCTTTTGTTGAATTGACTCAGGTAATCTTCAAACTCAGTTTGCTTTTGTTGAATTGACTCTGGTAATCCTTATAAGAAGGGCAATGGTACTACCCTGATTTGTTTGTTCAACTGAAGCCAACACCGGAAGCTCAGGAAAGGTAAGCCCCCTGCTCCTATAGCATAAGGTCGTTTCACAATGCACAGAATGGATATCAAAGAAACAGCGCAGTATGAACAAATCCATGCCTCTGAAATTATAACTACACCATGCTCCAGTTTTCCTTAATGGTCTAGCTTAATACAGGCAACAAGTAAGACACATCCTGTTTTCATTGTCCATATTACCTAAATTACCCTTTTTCCTAAATGTGCTTTTGAATGTCACAGTCTTGTTTACTCTTTGCAGGTACAGATGCCAACAGAGACCAAGTTGAGAAGCATGCAGGTTTCTGGAAATTTGTTCCCAAATGTGTGCCCAGCCTTCCTCCTGCATGGTGTACTGGCCTCTTAGGTCAAATCTGGCCTCTTTAATTCTGCTGCTTTTCTGACATTTGTGTGGAAGCCTCTTAGCTTGTTCTGACTTGTGTGGAGCTACCTTCCCTGTTACTCCTGATTCACAGGAAGAAAGGAGCCATCACAGACAGGTATGTGGCACTGCTTTAGTTTGTCTCACTGTTACCTCCCTCCAACCCCAGCCTTGTGCCTGCTAGGTGGTTCCGTGTAAAGGATTAGATGCACTGGTCTGACAGTTTCCATTTTTCTGAATTCAACTTGAATTTTATCATGGGTCACAAAACCCAGAAATGCATGTATTATGATTTGTGGCATTCTAGTAAACCAAGTGTTAATCTCATCAGGCTTCACTGATTTGAAATAAATAATGGGTGGGGCATCCAGCTGGCTCGGTCAGTTAAGCATCCGACTTTGGCTCAGGTCATGATCTTGCACTTCGTGAGTTCAAGCCCCACATCGGGCTCTGTGGAGCCTGGCACCTGCTTCAGATTCTGTGTCTCCCCCTCTCTCTGCCCCTCTGCAGCTCGCGCTCTGTCTCTATCTCTCTCAAAAATAAAGAAACATTAAAAAAAATTGTTTTTAAAGAAAAAAATAATGGGCGACTTACTGCCTGAATGCTAAATATTTAAATGCCACCTTGGCACAACTTAGTGCAACTTTTGGGGAACATAATCTGACAATGCTTTATCAAAAATTATCTCACGTTTGTATCTTTTATATAGTCATCCCACTCCTGGGTCTTATTTAAAAGTGGAGGGGTAAAAGCATTATGCACAACTATGTTCATTAAAGACCGGCTTAGAATAACATAAATGGAAACAATATACATTCCAACCATATGCATGGCTAAGACAATTATAGTAAAGGGCTCCTTGAAGGAAATATTATGTAACTATTAGTAGTTTCCTTTGTTTGGAGCCCTCTTCCACCCCCTCTGCCTTACTTTTCTGCCAGCTAACTCCCACTTAGACTTGAACACTCAGGGTACCCACCCCTGTACTCGGTGTCCCCCCCCCCTCCCGTGCTTATATAACACCTGGGCACACCTCTGTGAAAGGATTTATAGCCCATCCCAATAATTTTGCTTGTCAGTTTCCCCCAGTGAATTGCAACTCATTGAGGCAGAGCCTATCCTCTGTGCAGCAAGTTAAAAATCAGAAGGGGCAGGGGCAAGAAATAATAGTGTTCCTAACACACAAAAGTCAGGCTTCAGCTGACTTCAGGCTGCTTTCTCCCAAACACCCAGCCCCATCAGCACCCCCACCTCTCAAATCTCTACCGGAAGGTGGTCTCGCTTTCTGCCTTAAAGTCCCTCTGGAGGAGAGTCTTTGGCGGGCAATGGGTAGGAGTTCAGCAGTAGGGCCTATGGAATATTCCAGGAACCATTAACATCCTTTTACATCTCCTTTCACAAAGTTTCTTTCTACGAAAGTCAGAGTTACCTCACACAAATGGGACTGCAAACGGTCGGGGAGATTCGGTTTACACTGAAACGCGGCTCGCGTCCCCTCCTTTCTGGCAGCACTGCTTCAAAGAGCAGGAAGGGGACTCAGCCCTGGTCGGGTGTCGGGGATTTGAGGTCTCTTTCATCTCCCTTTCTTTTCCAGCCTGGCTCCCGGAGGCTCCGCGCCGCGCTCCCTTTTGCCCGCCCGACTTCTGAGCGGAGCGCTCCGGAGGGAGGAGAACCGGCGAATCCTCGCGGGCTCCGGGCGCTCGCGGACCGAGCCCGCCCCCACCCGCGCCCGGCCTCGTCACGTTGGCTGCAGAGCGCATCCCGGCTGCGCCCCGGCGGGGAGGCGCCGAGGGTAGCTGAGGGGAGCGGGTCACGTGAGAGGAGGAGTCTGACCTACTTTCGCCGGCAGCCGGCGCATGCGTAGTTCCGGGCTGCACGCCGGCCGGAGGCTCACGTGGAGTCGCACGTGCAGGGTGCTCCCGCCCCGGGCCCGGGGCGGGGCGCGCGCAGGGCAGGGCGCGCGCAGGGAGGCGGGCTGGGGTTGCGGGACCCGTCGGTGGGTCTGGCCGACAGGCTGGAGCCAACGGCGAGCGTGGGGTTCCCGCCACCCTGGGCCCGGTACCCGCAATTTTGGAGAGCTGGTTCGGCGCCCTTGGGGGGCTTCCCAGGAATTCATCGAATTCAGTGTTTCTGAACGCAAAAATTAAAACAGAGTTCCTGCACATATGCCCTTTGTTGGTATCAGCAAATCCACGCCTCGGAAATTTACCCTACAGATGGGCTCCCCCTTTTGTGAAATGTCGCTCCAGAAGGATAATCGTTGTATCACTGTTTGATATCACAAACGATGGGAAACAGTCTGTCGACCATAAAACCGGTCAATTCGTGGGCTCATAAAGTATGATTGGGCCGTATCTGGAATTCTTTGCAGCCGTTAAAAAGAAATGGACGGCTCTACAGATACTGATCTGAAGAGACTTCCAAGACCCATTCGGTGATGCAAAAAAAATTTAAATGGAGCACAACAGCGTGTATGGGATGCTGACATTGGCGTGGCAAAAATACACATACGTGTTTGTAAATGTACAGGATATGTATAGAATGTATAGATATGTATAGGATATGTATAGATGTATATAGAATGTACAGAATAGCTCTGGAAATACGCATAAGAAACTGGTAAGGGAAGGTATATTCAATGACTGAGGGGTAGGGAGAGGAAAGAAACTGACTTCCACACTTTTGTAACCTTTACATTTTGTACCTTGTATGATTTATTTTTATTTTTTTATGATTATTTTTAAATACAAATTTGAAAAGCGAAAAGTTATTTAGCACTCTGTGCTGGACATCAGGAATTATGTAAATTAGTTCCTTCTAGAAAGTTTGTCTCCTATAGTATCTGCACCATTTCCTATTCTATTTAGTTTGTATCTGAATGTTTCAAGCTTTCTGATAAACTCTGATAAGAGATTTTTTTGAACTCCCAAGGTGAACAACTCAATAGGTCCTCTGTCTGATTAAGATACTCTCCAAGTTCTATCTCTTAAGAGAAGACATCTTAACTAAGGGACTCTCAGTAACAAACATTTGCACAATAAAGCTCAGGCAACAATATTGCTTCTGAGATTAACCTTTCCTCTCTCAATTACTCTGTGAGTTTGTATTGCAGCTATTATTGTCATTGTAGTTATTTTATATGTATCAGTTATAGTATATTTGATTGCAGTAACAGCAAATCTGAGTGGCTTGAGCAGAAATCTCATTTAGTTGAAGTCTAGGATAGGGTGGACTTCAGGAGTAGTTTGATTCAGCAGCTAAACAATGTCATGAGGATTTGGTTTCTCTCCATTCCTCTGCCATGCATTTCATGGTGTCAGCTTCATCTAAAGTTTTGGGAAGGTGTCACTTAGTAAAAATGCTTCTTTACTAGAGGCAGTAGCAAACATCTCATATAACTCATTGGCCTGAGTTGGGTCAAGTACCCACTCAGGAACCAATAAGTTGGGGAGAACTAGAAAAAATACAAACAAACAAACTGGGTTTGGATGTTGAGGAAGCAATGATGATGCCCCTCACCTCACATCCATTATTACTGCTCTCACCATTACAATTGACAGTTCTGTTAACTCCTTAACAGGGGTTAAGGACACTGGCTCCCGGCTCAGTGCAAGATCCACGTATAACTTTTGACTCTCCCACCCCCCACTTAACTACTAAGAGCCTACTGTTGACCAGAAGCCTTACCAATAATATAAACAGCTGATTAACACACATTCATGTTAAATAGATTATATGCTGTATTACAATAAAGTAGGCAGAGAAAGGAAAATGTTAAGAAAATCATAAGGAAGAATATGTTTATGGTATTGTACTGAACTTATCAGAAAAAAAAATTCAAGTATAAGTGAATCTATGCAGGGGCCCCTGGGTGGCTCAGTTAAGCATCAGACTTTGGCTCAGGTCATGATCTCATGGCTCATGAGTTCGAGCCCCACGACAGGCTCTGTGCTGATGGCTCAGAGCCTGGAGCCTACTTCAGATTCTGTCACCATCTCTCTGCCCCTCCCCTGCTCTCACACTGTCTCTGTCTCTGTCTCTCTCATAAATAAACATTAAAAAATTTTTTTTAAATAAGTGAACCTATGCAGCTCAAACCTGTGTTGTTCAAGGGTCAACTGTATTTGCCCCTTTTCTAGGTATGGATTAGGTGACAGGTCTTGGCCTGCCCCACATTGTGCAGCCACTGCATGTGCATTTTCCCTGCACTGTACCTCTTCCCAGTGGGAGAGGGGAAATTTGTCTCCAATACTAGGAAAACAACTTGAGTTACAGTGAAAGATCAAATGATGTCATCTTAGCAGGATCATATAAAGGAAGTATACAGGCACCATATTTATGTGCTATTTCTTTATCCACCCATCCAATTAGTCTTAGAATCCTACTGTATGTGGACACACATGAAATCTTGGAGAAAAACAGAACACATTCACAACCAAGACCCTAACCTCAAAGTGAATATGGTCAAGTCAGGCATATAAGAGAGACACTTGGAAAACATTAAAATAATAATATGAGACAGCATGCAATTAAGTGCCTAAGTGGATGATAATGCAGTGTGGCAGGTACTCACAGCAAAGGGAGACCACAGAGGCAGAGATTGGTTGGAACAAGACAGCAAATAGAAGAGGGCCTTGACAGAATGCTCAGATTAAGTAAGATAAACAGGGGAGAAGGGAAGGGCTGTATATAGTCAGACAGTATAGAGTAAAGGAGGGAAGTAGAAATGAATCTAGTATTCTCAAGATTAGAGACCAGACTTAGTGGCATGGGGTGGGGGGTTGGTGGTGGTTGTGTTGAACACGAGTGAGAGATGATGTTGGAAATGTCAGGAACCAGGTTCCCCAGGTTTATATCCCTTGTGCATATAGAGACATAGTGATTATTTAAACTGCACTGACTCGGGGCGCCTGGGTGGCGCAGTGGGTTAAGCGTCCGACTTCAGCCAGGTCACGATCTCGCGGTCTGTGAGTTCGAGCCCCGCGTCAGGCTCTGGGCTGATGGCTCAGAGCCTGGAGCCTGTTTCCGATTCTGTGTCTCCCTCTCTCTCTGCCCCTCCCCCGTTCATGCTCTGTCTCTCTCTGTCCCAAAAATAAGTAAACGTTGAAAAAAAAAAAAAAACTGCACTGACTCTTGCTCCCACCTGCTCATCCTTTCCAAATCTCACCCTGTTATATGAGAGAGTACCTGAGTGTCTTCCACATGCGCTACACATCACTCAGCCAATCACAGTCACCCTACAGTACCTGCCAGGCCCCTCTGTCCTGCTCTGGTCCCCCTCCTATCATCCTTTCCTAGGAGAGCAGGATGAATGATGACGACTCAGCACCACTTGACTGGTTACATGGGGAAGAGAGGGAGGGGTCGAGAGTGATTCCAAACATACTCACCATGTCTGCTGCATGCTATGACCTCAGGGCACACGTTACATATGGATCATGCCCGTAATCGGCATGTTTGCACCATAAGGGAGAGGCTCTCCTCCAGCACACTGGGTGTTCAAGTACTCAACAACTGTTAGGTCAAGATGAAGGGGAACTCCCAAGGGCGGAACCTGGACTACACAAGGCGAACGAAGCCTCAGCTGCAAAATTTGCGATGCATCTACTTCTTGGGTCTCACAGGGGCAACCCTACGGCAATGGTGTGCCACTGTCTTTGTTTTGTGGTCTGGAGAAGCCAAAACTAGAAACCTAAAAGTGTCCATCTGAGACTTTCAGACACATAGCATTAAAAGGAAGTTTTAACAGTTGTTAGTCATAGATGTTGATTTTGATTCACACCCGTATATTTGTTTGTGTTTTTTTCCCTCTATTTCATTCTTTTGAAAGTCTTTTTTACTCACTCTTTTTTCCTAAAGCCCAATTCATGCTACAGACTTTGAATTGTGAACTAGATGTGTGAATTTATACAGAAATATAAGTTGTATATTCATCTGATAACTGAACAGACATGCAGCAAGGGCCTGCAGGGAGAGACCAGGGATGCATTAGTTATTGGGAGTATGAAGGAAATAAACAAAGGAAGTGGAAGGCTAGCTTTCCAGGAAATCGCAGACTATTAGGGGAGATGGCCTATAAGGAGAAGACACGCTTGTAAACAAATCAGTGTAGTAAGCAAGTATAAAAGTTTATCAGGGTTGGGAGAACATAAGAGACTGAATGGCTGTCTCCTACCAGGGTTGGCTGTGTGTGAGGACAGGGAGAAGTCAAGAAAGGGCTTCGTGTAGGATGTAATACCTGTCACAGGTCTTCAGAGGTCAGGCCCTCATAAACCAGGCATTGTGTTAAGCAGAGGGTTATTAAATCCCAGATGTTAGAAAAAACTCACAGCCCTCTTGGGCACAGGTCTCAAAACAGAAGATCGCAAAGGTCCTGAGAACTGATCAATAGGGCTTTCTGCTGAGTGCTTTGAAGAGACAGAAGAAAGAGTCAGATGCCTGATGTGTGGAAACCGGGAGACAAGTTTGGGAAGTGAAAAAGCTACCCATTCCTTTGGTAGAAAAAGCTTAAAGATTAGTGAGCAGGCTTGAACATAATTGCATAAGGAACCAAGTTTTTAACGGGCTGGAAACTCCCGTTTTCTGTTTGTAAATTTCTGATGACTGAGATAGTGCTGACTGAGATTAGTAGATACAGGAGGATAGCAGAATGTCACAGTGATGGAGAGGTGGCGTGATGGTGACAGGGCCTTGGTTGTCAAATTGAGGAAGGAGCATGTGTTCAAGTCTGAGCCATCTCATCACCAAGGGAATACTGGCTTCAAAGAATGCAGAAGCATTCCTTGCTCATACTATGTATCCATTACAGGTTGGCATGGACTCTGCTCCATCTTGTCATCGTTCTCAGTTGAGGACTGAGATAAAAGGAGCAGCCATTATATGAAACACTGCTGGTCTGGG